GTGGGACGTGGGTGCAGCAGTGCTGGGGGTGGGGGCTATGCCCCGCTGCCACTTGCCCAGTCAGGGTGGGTGGAGGGGGCAAGCGGCAGCAGGTCATAGCCCCCACTCCCAGCGCTGCTACCCACATCCCATGCTCCCCCCCACCCCAGCTGGGCAAACGGCAGGCTTGCACCCCACTGCCCTCCTCCCCAAGTCCTGCACCCCCTGCCCCGGCTGGGCAGCTTGTCCCAGCCCCAGTCCCTCCCTTCCCCATGTCCCTTCTCTCCTCCCTCTGCCTACCACAGCAGACATACCAGCTGGAGGCAGCTGTGTCCAGTGTTGTAAGGACTGCTGCCTGTTTAGTCTATGGCTGAATCTCCGAAGCAGCGCCAAATTGGGACAGTGATTTGAATCTCCAAATTGAATTACTGTCCCTCCAAATGGGCCAAATCTGAATCCAAAGTGAATACTTGCCACTTTGCACAGGCCTACTGGCCATAGACACATTCCTTTCCCAGGCCATCAGCTTGTTATAAGATCCAATATTTCTCTCCTATCACTCACCAGAAAAGGCTGAAGCCACAAGCTTTCCATACTTTAATTTCCTATTATAAGCAAGTGATCGCAGCTGCTGAAAATTTACCTTCCAGAAGCTTGTACCAACAATATTCCCTTATAAGTCAGAGAATTCAATCTCTCATGAACAGTGCTTTATAGACAGACAAGAAACTGCAATGTATTTACCTTTTCAGGGCAAATCTGAGCCAAATACAGGCTACGAATTACCATTTTCATTTTCTTAGTACCTCAGAGTCTAAGGTTAATTGTGTACCATACTCATCAAAATGGACAGAGATCTTCTCTTCCACAAATAGATAAAAGAATCAGCACAAGCATAAGTTATATTATTTATTTGTTGCCCAACATGAATATGGAAAGCTTCCAAAGTTTTAATTATATGATATCCTGATTAAACATGTTAGATGGCAGAGCCCAGGGTCACAATTAAAGTTGCCTACAGAAGCTTAAAAATAAATTTCCTGACTTTAAAAAAATGTATTCTACGTGAAATAGACAACACTGGTGTATTTTATGGAGATTGGTTTATCCAAAGTATCCATATAGGTATCCCTATTCAAAATCTGGACAATGTATTCAAGTTTTATTGCAATACATACCTTCCTACAGGCCTATGAACAAGCATTCATTTTATATTAAAAAAACCTCCACACAGAAAAATAATCCTGAAGTCAGAATATCTCAGATACAGTATCTTTACTTCAACTTCATGACAAGCCTCTTTAGAACAAACTCAAACAATTACATTGCCCAAACTCATCATAACACTCAGCTCTGCCAACCAGTGCAATTTCGGCTTTAAAATACTTCTACAGTGAGGCTATCAAAGTTAACAGTTTGCACAAGGAATACAGAGTATTGAAAGAGAAGCACGAAAGAACACATGTAAGGTTCATGCCTAGATTTGGCATTTTTCGTTTTGGGAAGGCAGGTCATCCAGGGAGGATTCATCACACAGATGTTTACTGAGAACACAGGTAATGAAAGTCAAAGGAAAATCAGAATAATTTTAACTTTGTATATCTTGCACTTCTTAGCAGCTGTTTTAAGAGTGATTTTCAAAAACTTGACATGCACTTGAGTGTATGTTTTATATGCACTGCTTTGTAAGAGTACTACTATATCCCTAGGTAGGTACTTATGTTAATATTTTAAATGAAAGCAAGTTAGGCAAAACCCTATTCCAATTCACTTGCTATCACCTATGTAGTCCTGGAGCTAGAGTTTAGTCACCACTGTTCGTATTAAATAAGCTCTAACCCAAAGGTTCCCAAACTTTTTCTTATAATATAACCACTTCCAGATTTACCAGCTGCCCATGTACCCTTACCAGCACATGCTTTATTTCTTAACACCTTAAATGCCAATTATTATTATAATGAAAATTAAATCAGGTAGTAATAATTTATCCCACATACATCCCCAGAGATGTCTGGCGTAACCCCAGAGGCATACATACCACAGTTTGGAAACCCCTGCTCTAACCTATGAGTAGTCTCACTGAAACCAATGCACTAGAGGGTATCTTAGATAACACACCTATAAAAGAGTGAGATTTCTGCACACACCTTACATCTGGGCACAAAGAAATAAGATTGTGTTAGGCACCCTTCTAGCCCCTATGCCCCATCCCCTTGTCATACCCACAACTCCAGCCCTTAACACGTCAGGTAGCCCAGTAGTGCATCAATGAGGGATGTCATAGTTTGTTGCTGCAATTAAATCTAGCAGTAAAATACCAGCCTCACAACCCAAGAACAAAAGTCAAGCTGGGAATGAGCGGTGCTTCAGCCTCTGAGGTACTGGACATATGGACAGAGAGACAAACCTTGGAACAAAACACACTATGACAGTTGCATACAAACAAGCAAGCTGTACATTTGAAAGCAGAGGTAATGAGCAGGTTATACAGAAAAGGTAGGCATGACAAATGTAGCTCTGATTCATCCAGGAGTTAACATGCCATTGTTGGGGCAAGGGAAACTGTGGTTAGAGGTTGTAACATTTTCTGCTTTTTTCAAATCAGCACAGCTTGACCTGTCAAGGGTTAATCCCTTCATGCGTTCATGGTCGGAGGCAGCTTACATGCCATCTTTTCTTGGGGCTGAGCCCAGGGACAATCTTGCCCAATAAGAATAACAGAAGTATAGTAGCACTTAACCTGATTATGGGCAATATCATCTAGCTCTTGAAAAGCTGAAGCAGTCACTCTGCTAAACTATGCCAACATCTATAAAACAAACAAACAAACAAACAAACAAAACAAAACAAAAAAATGTCCATAGACTAGAGAGAGGTTAAAACCAATAAGAACCTATGTTCTTTTCCCTTTTAAAATTATTTTAATTCTGCTATACTGTACACAGGCTAATAGAAGTCCATCTGATATCAAATTCATCTTATGCCAAAGGAATAGTAGAATGACCATATGCAGCAGCACAGTCACAAAAACCCTGAATTGACATTACTAAAGAGAAAAAAAAATCCCTAAAACCCATAATCTTGCTTCAAAATCCTAAAACATAATTATAAACTTTATTGGTTTAAAATCATACCATTCATCAGCACCTGAACTTTTAATTATGTTTTGCTGATGTAATCTAAAGACATATGAAAATAATGCCAGATACTGGCAGTTAGTGGATTAGCCAAGGAACCATTCAACCACAGGGATTTGAGCCTGGCTAATTACTCCCTTTCCTTATGTGCACCTATGGATACAATTACGTATTTAGCTACAAAAGACAGGAGATTATATGCTATTGAACAGAACAGCATGGAGCTCTCAAATAAGATTTCACTTCTTTCTTTTCCTTTGTATAACTCTGACATTTAGTGTTGATGGATTTGAGGGCAAGCTGAAAAGTAATTTTCTTTGAAGGCACAAATCTCTGTACTGTGGTAAGTAAAAATTGAGGAGGGACGGTTGTGAAAACTACACCGCAAGATTCAAGAGGATTGGGGAGGATTCTTCTTCCTGAGGAGTTTTAGATTTTTTTAGATCAGTACATGACACACATCATCATCTCTTCCAAACCCCCTGCACCTGCCACAAAAGCACTAAGTAAAACAACCTTTGACTGGAGAACAAAAAACAAACAACCACAATATGACCAGCAAAGCAGTCCATGTTTTAATGCATTTTCTGTCTATAGCTATTATTACTTGAATAAACAATTTAAGAAGCACAAAAAATTATTTTCTTCAGCTGAGTCACTGTAACATAGCTGAAGACATTTTTTTTTTTTAAAGCTGTAAAAATTTTGTCTAAATCCATTCTTTGCAACTCATGTTGGAAACTTCCCATTAATGTCCTCATCCAAAAGACTATAGAAGCAAAATAATTTCCATTCACTTAAAAAAAATAAAAAGGGAACTATACTTTGGAAGCATGCATCCCTCAAAAGGATTAATTAAAATATTTTAAAAGAAAAAAGTTTTTCATTAAAGCTACTAACGTTTGTTTGGAAAATACTCAGAAATCACTCCCACTAAGTATATACAAGAAGAGCGCTTTATTCC